TGGTTCGGGATAAGAACGACAAATACAAGGCCAATTTTGAAAAGCTGCTGGAGGCGATCAAGCGATCCAAGAATGGCAAAACGTTGGGCGTCTACTTCGAGGACAACTTCCCGGGGGAATTCTGTGAATCGTGGCGAGCCTTGGTCCAGCACAAGAGCTTCGACACGGTGGACATCAGTGTCCCAATCGGGTACATCATGAGCTCCAAGGAGGACTCCGAGGCTAACACCATCAAAGAGACCTGCCTGGTGACGGTAGACGTATTCAACAAGTACCTCAAGGATCACATCATGGAGATTATCATCTAAATGAATTGGACATGTGCTCAGTGGCAATTATTCAGTTGGGTGGCAATTACAACTTGAAGTTCAGTGGATCGATCATCTGTGCTCTCGGTGCGCGTTACAAATCCCACTGCTCCAATATCGTCCGCTGACCACTGAAGAAAACGTTTCAGAAGCACTACACTTTTCTGGTCAATCTGGAAGAGGAACTGCTGAAGGTGATGATTCTGGGCAAGAAGCTCTCGGAGGTTTTCGCCTTCAGAATGGGTAATGCCAAGAAAGAGGATCCCAAGCTAAGACGTTCGGTTTTTTCATCGGGTTGGAGTTCCTGGAGAATTCGATCAAAAAAATTTATGTTGAGGCAACAGCTCGGGTGTGACCTTGTAAGGACCCTACTTTTAAACAGCAAATCACCAGCACTTGGTCAATTGGTCATCTACCAAACCAAACTCACTTGAACAATACCGAACCATAGAGGTAACTCTAAGACTAGTAGGTCCCGAAGAAACATGCTCAACTTTTTGGCTCAGCTCTGGTACTATCTTCGGTCCCAAGCTAATCAATTCACCCCTCGAAACATAGGTAAATCCACTAACCCCTCATTTTATCTGTCAAACTTTCGTAGCGAATCAACACAAACATAGTGTTGTACTAGAATTTCGACTAGAATAGGGTACGTTAATCGATTTGCTTGGGACCAATAGGCTAGTCAAGTAGTGAGCCAATTTAAAATCGAGAGTTTCGTATTGATTGTTGACCGAACTGCTTTTCACGGCACAAGCACACGGAATTTTTATTGCTTCCACTCAACCTATTTTTCAAATTCTATGTTACAAAAATCGAAACCCATTTATTCCATCTCGTATAAGACGACACATATTTGAAAGTAAAACTACTCTTTTACTTAATTCTAATTTGAACAGAACTCTCACTTCAAATTTACATACGTCGCATCGGTGGAAAGGCCACATATGTTACCCTTTACCGCCATCAAAGCATATCTACCGTTGCCCCAGTAGTTGGACCAGGAGTTTTTGATTAGTCAGTAATCTCTCCTTTGAGTTTTCCATATCGAACCACCCCCACTGCATGATCCAATCCATCAAAATTGTTCTTGCATTCCGATTCGTAGTACACTCCATTTGCGTAGTAGCTGAAAGACTTGTGACCGGCATCGATAGTAATCGACAGCCTTCGAAAGCCTACATTTCAAATTAAAATGTGAACCGAGAAGTGAATTGCTGGTCTGAGTTTCTCTAGTTTATTCAATTAGAGTATGTTTCTGAAATACACAGTGAATCTTGTGAACAACTTCAATGAAAGATGTCCAGCAGTGCTCCCATTTTATTTCATGATCAATCCAATGCCTACGAGATTGTGTTGAAGCTGTGCCGATGGATGTGCCCAAGCTGTGTCAAATCTACTTTCGGCACACTGTGCTGAGTGACTTACCCCTTGGTTCGATCCACATTTGCGCAGATTGTCTGGCTTTTGTTGATTGTTCACTCATTTAAGCGCATGTGCACGTGGATGTTAAATTTATCATTGACGGGTGGTTTGTTTACCCATCAATATGTGTATTTTTAAATCTGTGTGGCGTCTAAAAGACATTTTGAAGTCCAAGATGGCGGCTTCCGGTTCAAAAAATGTGGAAAATACTGTCAAATTACTAGAGCTGCACCGAATAGTGCTATTTGGCCTGGTATTCGGTGTTTACTTGTGAAATTTCGCTAATATTCGACTATTTTCTTACAAATGAGAGGCCGACAAAACGCCTGATATTCGGCTGCATACTATGGCGGCCGAATATTTGGTACAGTACCCATCAATATGGGTATTTTTGGAAACAGGATGACGTCTAGAGAATAAAATCAATATCAGACGCCATACCAAAAATGGCGGCTTCCGATATCAGAAAAGTGGGAGATACTGTCAAATGCCCATCAATATAGATATTTTTGGAAGCAGATTGACGTCTACAGGCCAGAGAACGGTGATATTTTAAATAAAAGTGGGACATACTGATGCCGACCCATCCATATGGGTATTTTTATAGAATGAAAATTGATATTCGACGCCATTTTGAAATCCAAGATGGCAGCTTCCGATTAAATAAAAAGTGGAAAATACTGAAAAATTCCCATCAATTAGAGTTTTGTTGCAATTGAGATGGCTAGAGATTGAAAAAAAGATATGCGACGCCATTTTTCAATTCAAGATGGTGGCTTTCAGTTTAAGAAAAAGTGGGAAATAATGTTAAATACCCTTCAATATAATAATTTTTGGAATCGAGATGACATCTAGAGAATAAAAATCGATATTCGACGCCATTTTGAAATCCATGATGGCAGCTTCTGGTTTAAGCAAAGTGATAAAATATATCAAATGCCATGCATAGGTTTTTTTTAGAATCAGGGTATCGTCTAGAGGCCGAAAATCGATATCGCCATTTTGAAATCCGAAACGACGGCTTCCGAATTGAGAAAAAGTGTCAAACACCCTAAAATATGGGATTTTTCAGAACGGGGATGACACGTATAGGCAATCCCAAATGGTGACTTCTGGTTTCAGAACAAGTGGGAAATACTGTCAAATACCCATCAATGTGATGGAAATTGTAAATATTTGAATGATTTGGGGGGTTCTCTGACATCGACACATGTCAGGGGCCCCTTTGATATAAGAATCAGTTGAAAGGAACGAGAAAATCAATTCAATCAAACGTTCTCTTCGTCGACTTGCTTATGTTTCGGTTTGAGAACAGTTAATTTTACATGAATTGTTTGTTAACGTTCCATGATTTACGTCCAATATGGATTACGTCTCGTGTAAAATTAGTTGTTTCTAAGTGTGTAGCCAAGTCAGCAAAGGTATGGCTGGCACTTTTCGGCTTGGAAATGTTCTCCCTTTCCTGAGTATCATTGTGCTTTCACTGATCAAACGTTATCTAAACTGTCGTCGAACATGTGTGTGTTGCTTGGGAGATATAATTTTTTAAAGCAGAGTTATATGGTGAATTGTTAGATAGTAATGAACAAAAAGTTTGGTTTTCTTTCCCATACTAATATCCATATAAACTTCCCATAGTAATATTGGATGTCACTATTTCATACCCTCACGTGTATGCTCACATTTTTAGATCGATTCTATTGAATCACATGTATGCGCGAGCATAGAGATTCTGGCGAGTGAGCGGTGTTGTTCCATCACAAGGACTTGGAATCGCTTTTTCTCGACTGGTGTTTTGTTTCTTCTGTTTGGCCCTGCGGCGCAAGGTAAGTAATTTGGGTGTTTGGCCATTTGGACGAAATCCGTATGGCCAAATGACTTTTGGCCGAATGCTATTTAGCCGAATGGGTCGTTTGGCCGAATGCCGTATGGCCGACTACTTTAAAAGAGATTTACAATTTTTGAACACCACTTGAATCTAAATGACAGCCCTGTGGACTTTTTTTTTATTTTATAAATATGAGATTTTTGGTTAAATTGTATATTGTACAAAACAGAAATTTTATACTGTCCATCAATGCATTATTCTTATAAAGATGGTCTTTTAGTCGTTGAATTAGTATTTTTTAGCCACACTTTTTAACATGAGCAGTTCTTTGGAGTTCGGCATTCAGCCAACGGTTTTCGGACAAACGATCGATTCGGCCAAACGGCATTTGGCCAAATGACTTGGAACCACAATTTGAGTCAGGAAAAAAATGTGTCCATCGTACATGTCCGTTGAAATGTGTGTCAAGAGGGTCAGCTCGTAAATTGCATCGATGGGTACGTTTGATATTTGAGCGAACTTGAAATGGAACTGCGCTTGCTTATGATTTATTGCATGGGAAGGTGCATTATACCAAGAACAGTAATTTCCATATAAACTTGTGCGAAGTCAATTGCAAAGTAAATGAGTTCAAATTTTGAGAGACTAATCAGGACTCAATTCGGAACCGTTTGAGTACTGTGGAGTAAAAAAATTCTAATTTTACATCAGTCTAATCATCATGCATCATAATGACGTAATGCACCGATGTTCAGACACTGTCCGTAAATCCAGACATTTTTCAAAGTTGGTGATTATAACTTACAATGCTCAAAATAGCATGTAAATTTTTATATGATCTCATATAATCGTTCACAATTATCAAACAAGTGTCGGACCGGTTGGTATTCGGTGCATTACGGTATTTGTGAGCACCCCCATAAGATGCACTTCAAAAATATTTAGGATGATGTTTTCATAAAATTCTATAATCCATTATAGGAACCCACCATAATAAAAACGATGATGACAGGTGAATCTACCCTATTTATAGATTTAATAGAGATACTTAAATAATAGACTGAAAAATTAGTGGATTTTCAAGGATGATCGGGAAAGCAAAATATATTGCCCGGGAAACAGGAATCCAACACACTTAGTCCTGTTTTTTCCCAGTTCGGCAATTTTGTGTTAAAATTTACACACCCGAGTGCCCGTTAACTATTTGTACTGAGATATCAATAAATATGACGTTCTGTTACTGAGATTTAGCTAGCTAAACAATTTCCGTAATTCAGCAACCAAACGTCGATTATACTGAAATCTCCGTATAATTTGTTTGCATGGAGCTCGAATATATACAAATGCCGTCAAAAATAGCCGAAATGGCACCAACAAATTCAGTGTTCAATAAATACCACACATACAGATAATATTTCCACCAAACCGCAAATCCTTACCGTAGTGATGATGCACGCTGGCGTCCGCAGGCGCTAGCCGTAGGGCCCGCTTAAACCACTGCTCCGCTTCCGAAGTTCGGCTGCTCTGGATCAAGGGAATCGAATATCCCATTGGCAATTGCCCAGCGAATGCGTTAACAAAACAATAAAAAAAAAACGGAGAAAGTTAACCATCACGGGTTGAGGAATTCAAAGAGGTATCATGATAAAACTCCACCACTCTAACTTACATTTCTCGCCAGCATCGATCCATAGGATAGGTGGGCCGCTATGTGGTCCGGTTGGGCCTCCAGGGCCGCCCGTTGGAATCGCTCCGCTTCCGACCACTGGTTGAGCCGGGCAAAAACTTCCCCCAACCGGTGATAGATGCCCTGGAATTGGAAAATGAACGGGATTAGTGCACTGCTGCTACTGCTGCTGTTTGTTACCAGTTAACCCACTCCCTGCCTGGCCGAAGCAAGAGAACGTAGCAAAAGAAAAATGGGTGAAAATGGGCTTCGAATCGGTTGCAAATGCATGTTTAATAGAGATGGATTGAATTGTCCACCGCAATATAGAGTGTGAGTCACAACGGATGGAGTGGATTTAGTGTGGAACCCATGGTATCGGTTTCTGGATATCGGATTTACGGCTCTACCGAGTGACGACTGTGTGGTGAAAATTAATGAATTCCTAGCCCCAACCACCGGTGACTGCCGGGAAGCTGCTGCATCTGCGAGGAAAAACTTTTCCGATTCCGAGCAACAGATTACTCTCCGCCGCGCGTGCTCCACGGGTGTTCCCTGCAGTTGTTCCCTGCTGCGAGCCTTTATGGCTAAGCTGTCACTGCTTCCAACTGCCATGCTGCTGGTCGGTCAGTCGTGTGTCGGAGCGGTAAAGCTGACGTTGGAAAAGTGTCATCAGCAAAGTGCATCCAGTCAGTGGGGAGAGACATGGATTGAAAACGAGAAGAACGAAAAGAGCCAAATGCAAGTCTCGGAGAATGTGTCACGTGAAAAACTTCGGCTAGGACATGCGCAAATTCCGTTGACACCAACACCAGGAAAACAACCAGTGAGACGTGAGATGGTGAGTCTCGGCTTCGGGATGCTGCTTTGTCTCGTCTGAGTGCAATGCTGACGAGGGTGTCGAGGAAAATAGTTTCCATTTTCGCTTTCTCATTCGATGCTGCCGACGATGGAATATGTGAAGAACAGCAGAAGAATAGGGAATTGTGAGGGGTGTCGCTTGTTGAATAAACAGCGACGCTTGCATCGATTTTCTGGCTGACGCTGCTGCTGCTGCTGCTGCTGCTGCTGCTGGTGGTGGTTCATAATGAAGTTAATCTCGGGTGGATTGGCAAATTAGAGCTGACGCAGGCAGTGGAAGCTTTGCTTGCAAAGGGAGTTTTTTTTTAACCAGATGTTGAATTTCAAAATGCATGGCTTTTTGTCAAAAAATATTGGATAACACATTTCTCTGGTTTATTCTAAACAATAATTTTTGATCGATTAAGAAGGAAAGTGGTCGTTTTTTTGTCATAAATATATCCAATATTCATTTGCTGATACAGGGAGTATCAGAATAATACTTTTATGGTGATTGGAAAACATTCATTGGATTCATCTAATCGGGGATGAGAATCAGTCAACATCAATTGATATCTTTCAAGAAATTGTCTAAATTAATCAATGTTTTGGCTGTTGGTTCAGCTTACAGATGACAGTAAGTTACGAAAACCGCGGAAATTTCGCGCGCCGTGCGAAACTACCAAAGCGATATAAAAAGGGTTATTATCATTTAAAGAGTGCCACCAAAATAAATATAATAGCATATGTTGGCAAGTTGGATAATGTTGGATTCCTCCCTAGATATTCTACTTATTTAACTATTGAGCTTTGTTTAAAATTAGTTATTTTACCGCACGTATCAATCATTTGAAAATTTCGCAACCGAACCGAACAAATTCTAATCTTTAATCGCTCAAAACAATTTTGGCAAGCTCTACCGAATTGCGAATCACTTCTGCGTAAGACGTAGGCGTGTTGAATCCGACAGCCGTGAAAAATTAAACATGCATCAGTACACATCCGGATAAACAGGATGTCTTTAAATGTGTCCAAGTGCTCGGTCATCTCCTTTGGCCGTAAACGGGCGATGCATTTCCACGATTACACCTTAAGAGGAATAAGCTTGAAACGCGAATCGACTGTCAAGGACTTGGGAGTCATGCTCGATTGCAAATTAACGTTCAAGGATCACATTGCTTATGTTGTATCTAAAGTTTCATCGCAGCTAGGATTTTTATTCCGTTTCGCCAAAAGCTTCAAGGACGTGTATTGCCTGAAGGCTTTATACTGTTCCCTGGTTCGACCTATACTGGAATACTCTGCCGTTGTTTGGTCGCCATTCTATCATAATGCCATCCATAGAATTGAAGCTGTTCAGCGAAAATTTATTCGCTTTGCGTTGCGACACCTTCGTTGGCGCGACCCGCGTAACTTGCCGAGCTATGAAAGTCGCTGTAACCTCATCGACATGGAGCTCTTGAAAGGAAGGCGTAATGTGGCGAAGGCTTGTTTCGTTGCGGATCTTCTGCAAGGGATCGTCGACTGCTCCACACTTCTCAGTCTTCTTGACATCAACACTCAACGACGGGACCTCCGGCTGCATGCGTTCTTCAACAACCGGCGTTCGAGGACCAACTATGGCGTACACGAACCAATGTTGAGTATGTGCCGCGTTTTCAATAGTTGTTATTATGTGTTCGATTTTAATGTGTCCCGCGAGAAAAATAAGCGTAGCTTTAAGAGATGTTTGCGTTAATTTTGTGTTTGAAGCAGTTTTGATGTTTAAATATAGAAAATTGTCATTAGGGTAACTATTTTATCTGTTGACAAGTAGAAATAAATAAATAAATAAATACCACATAAGGAAAGATCGATTTTACATTCACGTAGGGTTTAGTTAATAGATTAACATTGACTGCTGTTTACAAATGTAGGTACTTGAACACTAAGAAATAAGGTAACTCAAATGCTTTAACCGCATATATCAAAGATTTCGCATATTGAGAGAATAATATAGTAATCGAGTATAATAAATTCAGGAGAAAACAATAGACGCATTTCGCGCCAAATCGAATCGAAGCTGGCAGCACGCTCTCAGATTTCAATAAAATTTTCTGGATGTGTAGACTTTGACTAAATCAGCACTTTTGCATACTCAGTTTTTCCAAAATTTATCTAGATTAACATTTGAGAAGGGTCAAACTTTTTCTGCCGATTTTTTTCAAAAAAATATTATGGAAAAATGACAACTCCAACAAAAATATGTTGTATGGATGACTTTTAGGAAATTGACCAAATTATCGAATAAAAATACTGAAAAAACTTTCAAATTAAGTTTGAGACCTACACTGAAAACAATGTTGTGTTTCAACAGTTGCTGAATACTGATCGTAGTAATTTGGAAACGATTATCAAGCCTGTTGATGAATTTGTTCCGTATCTCATTGATAAAATTAACAAACTTATAACTCATGACTTTGTTTACAAACAACAGTCATCTTTTCTAAGAAATAAAAAAGAATCATTAAAATAAGGCGAAATTCTAGCAATTTGTGATTTTTCTGAACATTATTCATTCATTATCCAAAACGCTGCTCAAGGATATCACTGGAATAATTCTCAAGCAACAATACATCCATTTGAAGTTTATTATAAGAAAGACAATAAACTTGAAAATGTTTGCTTCATTATCATATCAGAAGTAATGACTCACGATACAGTTGCAGTTCAGTTGCAGTTCAGTCAGATAGATTTTTCTAAAATTACTTTTATGTCAGATGGGGCAGCATCACAATACAAAAATAAAAAAAAAACTTTGCTAGTCTGTGTAGATTTCAGTCAAAGCATGGATTGGATTTGCAACGTCTCATGGAAATGGTCCCTGTGATGCCATTGGTGGCACTCTTAAGCGAATGGCAAAGAGAGCTAGTCTTGCTAGCGATTATGGAAACACCATAACAACTCCACGAGAATTATATAACTGGGCAGTTGAACAAACAGATAAAAATATCACAAAACTACGTTTCGAGTACATATCCACTGAACAGTACATCTAAATGTCAGAAGAACTCGAAGAACTATATAACAGCACAAAGACAATATCTGGCACACAGAAATTCCACAGTTTTGTGCCTATAACTGGTGACAAAGTAGCGGCAAAAAGGTATTCTAATGCAGAAGATGAACCGAAAATATTTAACTTGATTGGAAAAAGGAAAAAATAGCATGTATGAAAATAGGTTTAAAACATTGAAAATATATAAATAAATGATAAATGAAAAATCTTGTCCTTTTTCTCTCACATATTATCAAATTTTGCATCAGTAGTAGATAACAGAATAAGGGAATGATATTTTTTTGACAAAGTCTACATGTCCAAATAGTTTTATTGAACTCTGAGAGGGTGCTGCCAATTCCAAATACAATTTGGCGAGAAATGCATCATGAGCCCTTTTCATATGAAATTCTCGATTAATTCAAGTGAACTTAAGTGATGATTGGACAAAATTGAATCGCAAATTGAGCTTCATTGGATTCTGAGATGATTTTGAGGTTCACTGGTTTAGTTTTGTGTGAAAATGGCAAATCAAAAAAAAAAATCAGTTCAGACATGCAAAAGTTTTTGTAAGAAAAACTGTTTTTCCTTAAAAGTGCCCATCTTGCAGTGTACATAATTACCTATCTTGAGGCAAAGTTTCATCCAAATCAAACATGGCCATTTTTTTTAATTCGACTTTAAATTTTCAAAATCGATTTTTTTCAGTGTAGGTCTCAAACGAAATTTTTTTCAGTATTTTTTTTTCGATATTTTGGACAATTTCCTAAAAGTCATCCATACAACACATTTTTGTAGGAGTTGTCATTTTTCCATAATATTTTTTTGAAAAAAAATCGGCAGAAAAAGTTTGACCCTTCTCAAATGTTAGTCTAGATAAATTTTGGAAAAACTAAGTATGCAAAGTGGCATATTTAGTCAATGTACACACATCCAGAAAGTTTAATTGAAATCTGAGAGGGTGCTGCCAGCTCCGAATACGATTTGGCGCGAAATGCTTAAAAGTTATTAACTGTCACATACCTATAATTTTACTTATCTCCTAAACTATTCCTGTTCTTGTTAATCTGCTAAATGCTATTAATCTGCTTGCGTTTCTTTTATTGATTTTCAAGACTAAATAGGAAGATTTATTCTACAACTCTAAAGGTTAGTTGCCTCCATATGCGGACCCCCCGCATCCTAATTCTTTTGTTAATCTACTTAATGTCATTAGACTTTCTGAATTTTGTAATTTAAGTTCATTTGATGATTATGATTTCTCATT